TCTTAGTAAAGCTCCTTGTCTACTTCCCAAGTCTGGAGAAAGTGGATGAGGTGTCTCATGACTGAATAATAAATTCTTTTCCACACCAGGTAAAATTTTTTGGCTTTTAACAAAATTGGAAGACCTAATCATGTTCTAATTATCTATTACAAATCATTGAGACTCTTAGGATAAACTAAGGAGTCCCCCCAAATAGATAACATCACTGTAACAAAACACCTTCCATTTTCATATGCTTATTATGACAGCAAAGAGTCTCAGAGCTTACATTTATAAAAATAAAAAATAGGAAGAGAATTGGTCATGACCTCTATCTCATTCTGACAAGTGGTAACATTTATCCATAAGTTTCTTAAACTTTCATTAAAAATTTCTTCATTTAGGAGCGCCTGGGTGGCTCAGTCGGTTGAGCGTCCGACTTCAGCTCAGGTCATGATCTTGCAGTTTGTGGGTTCGAGCTCCGCATCAGGCTCTGTGCTGACGGCTCGGAGCCTGGAGCCCACTTCGGATTCTGTGTGTCCCTCTCTCTCTCTCTGCCCCTTTCCTGCTCATGCTCTGTCTCTGTCTCTCAAAAATGAATAAACGTTAAAAAAAATTTTTTTTTTAATTCTTCATTTATCTAAGAAGTGCATTTCAAATATCTTACTTTTACAACAGTCAAGACAATACATGACTTGGATCGAATATACACTAACAAGAACTATAATGACAAAACATTTTCCTGGATTGCATTAACAGCCTTAGATAAAACACAGTTTTATTTTTTTAGATAATTGTGACAGAATAATAAAAAGTAAGACTTATGCTTTAAATGGTAGGATAAAAATCTGAGGGAAGTGCAATGGAAACATGAGTCTAAAGAGGAAAAACATGGAAGGTCTGAATTGACAAGGAGGTCAGGTCATGATCTCATGGTTCATGAGTTCGAGCCCCTCATGAGTTCATGAATTCATGTCAGCGGGCTCTGTGCTGACAGCTCAGAGCCTGGAGCCTGATTCAGATTTTCTGTCTCCCTCTCTCTCTCCCCCTCCTCACTCGCTCTCTCTCTCTCTCTCAAAAATAAACATAAAAAAAATTAAACTTTTTTTTGTACCTTTAAAAATGGATAGGGGGGGCACCTGGGTGGCTCAGTTGGTTAAACATCTGACTTTGGCTCAGGTCATGAGTCTGAGCCCCACATTGTGCTCTCTGCTGTCAGCGCAGAGCCCGCTTCAGATCCTCTGTCCCCCTCTCTCTGCCCTTCCCCCATTCTCTCTCTCAAAAATAAACTTTTAAAAAAAGTTTAAAAAATGGATAGGGGGACAAAAATAGACACATAGATCAATGAAACAGAATAGAGAACCCAGAATTCATTATTCAATTATTCAGCATTATTTCAATACCCAAGCTATGGAAGCAACCCAAGTGTCCACCGAATGGATAAAGAAGATACTGTGTATATACAACGGAATATTATTCAGTCATAAAAAGAATGACACCTTGCCATTTGAGACAAGATGGATGGACCTACAGGGTATTATGCTAAGTGAAATAAATCAGAGAAAGACCAATACCCTATGATTTTACTCATGTGAAGTCTAAAGAAAACAAATGAATAAAGAAAGAAAAAAAATCAGACTTTTACAGGGAACAGATTGGTGGCAGGAGGGTGGGTAAAATGAAGGGGATTAAGAGGTACAAACTTGCCAGAGTCAGTCATGTACAGCGTGGGGAACAGATTGTAATAAGGTATGGTGACAGATGTGACCACACTCACACACTCACTGTGGTGAGCACTGAGTGTAAAAAAAAAAAAAAAAAAAAAGGATCGGGGGTTCTGTTCTATAGGTTTAAAAGCAAAATAATTTTTATCTTGAAACTCACAGTATGTTGGCAATTATATACTTCGTAATTTAAACATTAAAAAAAAAAAGGAACTGTCAAGTTTGAAATTTGCAGAGGGATGCAGCTGTGCCAAATTCTTCATGGGTTTGCAGAGGCCTCCGGGGACACGCGCCGTCTACCTGCGTTGCTTGGGGTACCCGCTTCCCTTCCTACTATTATTTCCCTTTGTGTGGTTTCCTTATTTAACATCTTATGTCTTGATAAGCACCTAGCTCCCTTGGTTTCTTGGCAGGAGGACGGTAGAGCCGAAGTTGTTTCAAGGACAGAGGCTGAGACAGTGGAGGCTCAGGGGCGCCCCCGGAGGCTGCTGGCTGGGGAGCCCTGCTCTGGCATCACCGTCCCCCTCACGCCATCATCTCCCATTTTTCACTGGTTTACTGGAGAATGATTCTGTTTTTCCTCTTCTTTCCTAGTCCCTAATTTCCCAATAGAGTCTGGCCACAGTTTATAAACACAACAGGATGCGTATATACATATTTGTATTTTTAAGTGATTCCCCTTTTGCTATTTACTTTGTCCGGACGCGACTTCCCCCAGTCCCCTCTGGCACTCAGATGGAGCAGAGAAGGCCCCTGAGGGGTCTCCTGTGACTGCGTGCCCACACCCGGTGTGCGGGGTTCACAGGATAGTGGCAAAGGCTCCAGTGATTCTGAGCGTCAGCCAATCAGAGGCGATACGCTGTGTGTTCTCCCCGCCCCCAGATCTCCTCAGGTCCAGGCCACTGTAAGCAGTTATTACTTAAAAAAGGCTCAACTCCCATGTTAAACACCACTTTCAGATAATTCTGAAAGATATCTGACAGATAACCTGGGTTGGCTCCCCCAGAGAGACCGTGGTGGTTTTCAATCATTACATCTTGCTCTAGTCAACGCTGTCGAACAGGAACTACTAACAATGAAACTGAGAAAAATAAACACAAACATGAACAAATGACCTTTTATTTCATACAGAGATACAAAGGCAATTGTGTGCAGCAATCTGATGGGCAGTCCAAATCGTCGGAAGTAAATTCATGATAAATGTCACGACAGCCGGTGGAAGACAAGGTGGGAGGAGGAGGGACGGGGCAGAGAGCGCCGCAGCTAATAAGCAGAAACAGGAAGAGCTACAAGGTTTCAGAGCCTGACTTGAGTTCAGCCGGGGCACTCTCGATGCTGTTGTAACCGTAATTCTACACGGCCACCAGCAAAATCTACAAGTGCATTTTGTGCCATTTTGCATTAGAAGTTGCATCAAGGGCCCTGTGATCCTTACGAATAGTTGACACATCGTATTTCATCACGGGAGTTGTAAACTTTGCTCGCGGTCTGTCATGCATGTGGCCTTTGAGGCCCAACAAGCATTTGGGATGGGCATCCTCAAGGTAAAAGACTTGACACTTTGGTCCCAGTTTTTGAGGTGACGTTACTTGTAATAGTATCTGCTTTTGATCTGAGGAGAAGGTCTCCTAAAAACTGATCTTCCAGAATACAGTAGAAAACAAGGTCAGGCTGGTGTGGAGTCTCCGGCCACGGCACCTCTCCCCTGCCTGCAGCGTGAGGAGACTCGGACGACTTAGATTTGCACAACGGTGGGCCTGACCGGGTAAACAGTCTCCCGTGAAAAACACATCTCCAACGCTTCCATTTGTAACAGGGACACATCACATAATTTGTTATTAATGAAACAGTTTATTGGCTTTCAATATACAGCAGTAAATTTTCTCATGTAAGTTAATTTTGTTAAACTTTATGTTTTATGATAAAAGAATACTGAACCGAAACATCGGGGTAAATGGAGGTGTAGTAGCATGATTTCTAATATATTTTCCCGGATAAACAATTTGTTGTTGTTGTTGTTGTTGCTTTAACTATATGACATTTTATCTGATAACAAAAGTTTCCTAAATTCAACGTTTAGAATTGAATTATTTCTGACTAAACCCAGAAAATGGGAGCTCTTAAAATAAAGGCACAGTGTGGGCAGCAGGACAAGAGAAAGAAATGGGAAGATGTTAATACCCAGTTAACATCAGTTGGTTGGTTTCGTTTTTGACTCAGTCTGTCTAAAGCAGGATTATCTCCCTGCAACCCTGTAGATAAATCCTAGTGTTTTAGCTATAAGTTTTAAGAGTTCAGATATACAGATAAGCCAATTTTAAAAAAAAAACCCTTCTCTTACAGTATTCTAAAGGCTTTTAAAGCATTATATAAATCTTCAAAATTCCTATCACCCACATTTTAAGAAATCAATCTACACTTTAATAAGGCACTCAAGATAGAAAACAGTTTTGAAGACAATTACATTCTACGCTAGGGCTCGCCCATCCCTTGGCCATAGGGACAGAACGGATGCCTTCCAGAACGGAGCCCACCTCTGTGCACCAACAGAGTCGAGCGGGCACCACAGAGCACTGTGAATTTGCCTAGAGAGCTGGGTTTTATCAGTGGGAGTGTCCCATCCACCGATGAGAGAGCTATGCCAACAGCACTGCTCCAATTTAATGGTGAAATTTAAAAACCATATCTCCTCTTTGCTAGAAATTTTCCTTTCAACATAGAACAGTGACTTTTGTTGGCTCTTGCACACACAGAACAACAGGAGGACCAGTGAGCCCGTGTCCTTCCACGTGACCGTCGGGATGGAAATAAATGTAAAGGTACTTCACCGTTAAACGACAACCTACTAATTCTAGATGACCTGACATCTTACTTGTGTGCCTTATAAGCATGTGTATCACCAGCGCTGATGCTCCCGCTTCCAAATAACAAGAAATCAAATCCCACCAACCCTGTTGCTGATTCAGACAAACACCAAAGCTTACGATATAGCAATGCAGCCTCGAGGACCGTAGCGATGGAGAGAGATTTTAGCGAGGGTTCCACTCTTTCCTACGTGACAGAGGAAAATGAAGGAACAGGAGGGTCAGACTAAGCCTGAAATACAATTTCACTATGAAAAATGGGCAGCAGGCGTCCCACGAGAGCGGGAAGAGCTAAAAACGCGGTGTCGGGAGCGCATCGAGTTGAGGCTTTGTTGAGGGCTGGCCTCTGCTTCCACTGAGTAAAGAAGGACCCGAGGAAGGCGGCCGTGAGGAGCTTCTCCCTTCCTCCCTCTGGGCTGGCGGCAACGACTGGTTACTTCCCGTAGAACTTTTTGTTGAGAAGGAAGATCAGGAGGTTGACATTTACTTTAGCTCTATTAAATAATTTCATGACTGCAACGCCCTCGTACTGTAGCTGCAGCAGGTCCTGTTTGGAAAAACACTCTGACAGTTAATCAAGTCTGTGGAACAAGAAACGCCACGGCACAGGGAGGGATCCAGAAGGAATGAGGAATGACAGGTGTGAAATGGTGAGAGAAAGAAGTGCCCCACGACGGGCCTGATCGCTGCACAACCACCCCAAGAGCTCGAGGAACAGGGCACACTGGTCAACAGAACTTTCTGGTACAACTGGAGGTAAGAACTCGTGTGGTTCATATCCAAATGCACAAAACATGGAAAGAAAAAGCAGCAGGCTCATTGATCACACATACTTCTTTCAAAGTTACAATAACGTGTCTCTAGTTTGTCTAAGCGATGGGTCACCTGGAGAGGGTGAAGGCGTGTCAGTCTCTGATAAAATAATCATTGAAAACAAGGTAAGGCCACCAATGTCATCTCAATGGTAGAGTCCTAATTTCTATTTCACATGAGAAAGCTTTTATATTCTGAAGGCAAGAGGGAAAAGGGCAAAATGTGCACTGTGCCTACTATGCGCTCATCGTCACGTAAACACATTAATGTCTTGTTAAGTCCTGATAAAAATCCTATAGGTGTGATTATCCCGAGTTTAAAGATGAGGCTCAGAGATGCTCAATGATTCGCCCACAGTACAGAGTTGGCCGTAGTGAGGCAGATCTGAGTGCAAAGCCCCTTTTTCCAGCACCCTCCTCTGCCCAGAGCAAATTTAGGAAACCTGAGGGGTCTTGCCCATAAACTTCAGAACAGAGGTGATGAGAAAGCAAGAGTCAAAGAGCTCGGAAGCGCCCAAAAGATCAACGTACTCATCTTTTGGAAAAATCCTAGCGGCTCCATGAGAACGAAGGCCCTGGTGCGTCACCCACCCGGCATGACACCTCGCACCCAGCACTCACTCCATACTTTGTGAATGTGCGCGGGTGAACGCGCTACCTGAGGCGCGCACAGGTCTGGTGAGACTGAAGGCACGACAGGATGTTCGTTTGTGTAAGCACTAGAGGGCGTGCCTCCCAGGACCCTCGCACTTCTGCCCAGCTAACATGTTCGGAGGGCCTCTCAGCATTGAGAAGGAAACAAAGACACGCTACGGGCCCTTGAGGAGCTCGCGGTTTGGGGGGTGGGAGGTAAGAGCCAACCGAGTCAACGGAGGCATCTCTACGGGCAATGGAGGCGGAGGAGGAACCGCTGGGGCTGCTGCGGCTCGGAGGTGGGAACACATGTGAAAGCCCCCCCCACCCCACTCGGGTAAATGACGGGGAATAAAGGAGCGGACGCAGGGTCAGCGCGTGCAGAGATGGCGCCTGCCAGGCCGACGGAGCGCAGCAGCGGGCGGCGGGAGGAGGGAAGGGGCGGGAACCGACCGGGACACACACAAAGCTGCGGGACTCAGGGCGGCGCCCAGGAGGCCTCGTGGCGCCTGGTGCTTTTCTCACGCGTAAAAACTGGAGATATTTCAACATAAAAATTAGGTAAAATTATGTTATAAAATGATTCACTGCAAAGTTCTTTCCGAATTTAAAATGGGATTCAGTTTAAAAAGATCTAATTTACACATGCCTTGTCAGAAATACACATGTAAGCACCTGTATCAAGTCAAAATGAGAGAAAAGATTTTAAGCTACTGAGTAGGCTTACAATTTTCTACTATCAACACTTAAGCATTTTGTTCAAGGTCAAGGTACCAGCTGGATTTAGTGGCAACACAAATAGAAGCTTGAGGTAAAAGCTTTTGGGAGACGTATGTACCCGCCAGACCTTTCTGGGGACTACAGACCAGGGGCACCAGAGCACGGGGCCCCTGGGCTCCTTCCCTCCCGTGTGGAGCCCAGCTCAGTGCTGCAGTGCACGGCCGTCCCCACACGGGTTCCCTGCCTCGACGAGAGCACAACCACCTCACCTACAGAGTTCTCGGTTCTGCCGGGCGCACACCCACCTGGTAATGTAGCATAAACGTCTCCATTTGAACGCCCATGAACTTGGCTTTCACCTCAAAGTCTCCAACTTCTTCTGTTGGACTGATTTCAAAGATAACATTTTTAAACCTGTTGAAACATAACATTGTAAGGGTATATTTTTACGTCCTCGGGAACAGTATTCCATGAAATGTAGAAAGGAGAGTGACAATCTTCAAGAGTGAAAAGGGGTATAGCATAAAGGTCCAAGTACTCCTGCGGGTGGAGGAGCGCAGGGCTGCTACTCTACGTGGCACCTGCTCAGAGACCTGGGGAGAGGCCGGCAATCTCTCCCTGCAGCCCTCGCACACCAAAGAGGAACCACTGAGGAATGCCACGATGGCCTCTGAAGGCATGATGTCCTAGGAATTCTTGGTCTTCGCTGTGGCCACTGCTGAAATCTAACGGTAAAAGGATAATCAACAGAAAACTGGCCTGGAAGGAGAGGGATGAAAGGTGTGTGTATCAATGCAGGCATGTTTGAGGATTACAAGAAGTATGTAAGAAAAAGGGGTCAGGACAAAAAGAACCATGACAGGAGGTGCTATAGATATAAATGAACCGAGTGTTGCCAAAGATACACCTGCTACTGCTGAAAATTCTTAAGGTGTCACTCACTCTCAACATGTTACATGCCCAGAAATTTTATGGCAGTGGAAGAAGGCGGGAATGTGTTGTTCCCTGGGTGATCAAAGTACATCAGCCCAGATTTCTAGAACTCAACTATGGAGCAAACCCATCTACTAGGAACAGAGCCAAGAATCATGAATGATGCAAAACAGGCCACAGAGAAGCTGTAAGAGAGGTCATGAAATCCACACACTAGAACGTGCACATCTTACTCGACAGGAGGTCCTCTGGGGTCATTCCTTAAAGGTACTTCATGTGATAAGCAATTTTATTTTAGCCAGTTTGCTTTGTTATTTGGTTTCCAAGCCTATCATAGCAAATTGAAAAGAAGGCAGGCAAAAAAATGGCTGGCATTTGAACAGTAGAAAATAATGACAAAAAGAAGAGAAAAGACAATAAATGTGAGACAAACTTGAAAGGTGCATAAAGTACTCACATAAAAAACCTCAAAAACACCAAGGTCCCCAACTGAAAAGCGACCAGAGGAAATACAAATAAGCCACGATTCACACACACACACACACACACACACACTCAACTAGACTCTAAGAAATGTCAAGTTTTAAAATGAGTACTAGGGGTGCCTGGTGACTCAGTCAATTGAGCGTCCAACTCTTGATTTCAGCTCAGGTCATGATCCCAGGGTTGTGGGATCCAGCCCCAAGTTGGGCTCTGCTAGGCATGGAGGCTGCTTAGGAGTGTGTCGGTCTGTCTGTCTCTCTCTCTGCCTCTCCCCTGCTTGCACACACGCTCTCTCTCTCTCTCTCAAAAAAAGCTCTCTTTAAAAAATTAAAATCGGGCATCTGGGTGGTTCAGTCGGTTAAACGTCCGACTTCGGCTCAGGTTATGATCTCACGGTTCGTGGGTTCGAGCCCCGCAAGGCTATGTGCTGACAGCTTAGAGCCTGGAGCCTGCTTTGGAATCTGTCCATCTGTCTGTCTCTCTGTCCCTCCCCTACTCATGCTCTCTCTCTCTCTCAAAAATAAATGTTTTAAACAATTAAAAAATAAAATAAAATCAGATACTATCTTTTAACTACTGAATTCAAAAACATTGAAAATTACTTTACTATTCAATAATGGCAAAGAAATAGGCAAGTAAGCGCTTCCATATACATTTCTGACACTACTGCAGATTCTTTGGCGATACACATATACACATACATGTATATATATATAAATTTTTTCATCTGCTATGGAAAATCGTATGGCAGTTCTTCAAAAACTTAAAACTACCATGTGATCCAGCAATCCTGCTTTGGGGTATAGATTCAAAAGAACGGAGAGCAGGATCCCAAAGAGACGTTTACACTTCTATGTTCACAGCAGCATTGTTCCCAGTAGCCAAGAGGTGGAAGCAGCCCACAAGTCCCCCGACGGACGTATAAACAGAATGCGGTGCGTATATGTACAGTGGAATTTTATTCACCCTTAAAAAGAAATCTGTCACACGCCACAACATGGATGAACCATGAGGTCACTGAGCTAAGTGAAACAAGCCAGTTACGAAAAGACAATGGCTTATATGAGATGCCTGGAGGCGTCGAATACGTGAAAACAGGGAGCAGAAGGGTGGTTGTCCAGGGCTGGGGGAGGGGGAAATGGAGAGCTGTGGTCCAGTGGGTATAGTCTCAGTCCGGTAAGATGAAAAGGTTCTGGATACCTGTTGTACAGCAACGTGAACATACTTAACACTACTGAACTACACACTTAAAAACGGTTACAATGGTAAAGTTTAGGTCTTGTACTTTTTATAATAATAACTTAATAATTTTAATACTTTGACCAGAAATTCCATTTTTAGACATCTATGATAAAAAAAATAATTAGAGGTAAAACCAAAGATTTACATATAAAGAAAGACATACCGCAAGTGTAATAACGTAGAAAGTAAAATCAACTTAAATGTCGTACAGATGAATGGTTAAATTTCAACTACAATATGAAACATTGTGTGGCCATTAAAAAGGATGCTTTCAAAGAATGTGAAAATTTCTCAAAATATAATGAGAAAAAAGTTGGATATGTGACTATTTTCACAACATATGTTAAAAAAATAATAGGTAGAGGGGCGCCTGGGTGGCGCAGTCGGTTAAGCGTCCGACTTCAGCCAGGTCACGATCTCGCGGTCCGTGAGTTCGAGCCCCGCGTCGGGCTCTGGGCTGATGGCTCAGAGCCTGGAGCCTGTTTCCGATTCTGTGTCTCCCTCTCTCTCTGCCCCTCCCCCGTTCATGCTCTGTCTCTCTCTGTCCCAAAAATAAATAAAAAACGTTGAAAAAAAAAAAATAATAGGTAGATAAATAAGTGGGAAGTTAGATAATCTGCTGTGAACAGAGGCACAGAACATACACTAATTACTTCAGTGGCTATCTTTGGCTTGTGAAATGATAAATGCTTTTTTTCTTTTTCTTTATGCTTTAGCAATTTCCGAAGTTCAATAATGAATACATATTACCTTAGGATCAGAAAAATTTTTCTTTTTAAACAAAGTTGTTTTGTGTTTACACAAACTGTTTTGTGTTTACACAAACTGTTTTGTGTAAACAAAATCAGAAAGCTCAGCTATGTACGGTCACAGGGCTGACTGAACAGGTACTCCATAAATGCCTGCTAATGACAGCCAGGCCAGATCCAGGAACCTTGTACAAAGCGAGCTGGCCCTTCCCAGGAAGGAGAATGAGGGGAAGGCCCTGATTCCTAGCCTCAGGTGGAATAAAGTAAACTCCTCTTCTTGTTCTTATTTATTCTTGGTTTAGACACAGGAGAAATACAAAATGTTTTCCTGCTTTAAAGAGGAAAAATTGGGGTGTCTGGGGGACTGTTGGTTAAGCATCGGGTTCTTGATTTTGGCTCGGGGCGTGATCTCACAGTTCATGGGATTCAGCCCCACGTCGGGCTCTGTGCTGACGGTGCGGAGCCTGCTTGGGGATCCCCCTTCCCAAAATGAGTAAGTAAACATTTAAAAGAAAAAGAAAAGAAAAAAGGTAAAGAGCAAAAAAATTAAGATGGGGCTAACATAAGTACGTGCAAACATGGCTTGGGGCAAATATTCCACAACAAAGGAGAAGTAACACTTTCCCTTCTCTGACAGACAAATTAACTCTGAGCATTGGGAATGCTGCACCCAAATAGATATATAAGGAAATAGAAGATATGAAAACAACCATCCAGAAATAAAGGGAATCAGATGTGATCAATGTAGAGACAAAATCAAGATACAGAACAGAGTAAAAAATACTCACTGGTTCACTTGCAGGTCCTCAATTTCCAGAAGGACTCCTTTTTCATGCAGTCTGGCTGCTGTGTATTTCAGAGAAATCTTTTTACTCTTCTTTCCTTTCATTTCCCCAGGCTTCTTGGAGACCCTGCAAAAAAATCACATCACGTCACTTTCTCTCAGTAACTACAAGTCTGTTGGTAATTCATGGAATGGAGGCCAGAAAACAGACTTCCCCTACACTAGCCTAAGTAACATACGGATTCTAAAATGGCCAGTAAGTGTTAGGATTAGCCTGAGTAATATTTTTGCAAAACAGTGGAAACATCACTAAATTGCTTTGGCCTTTAATTTAACTGTATTTGAAAACCCACGTAAATTTGACAGGCCGTGTCATCTGTCTAGGTTCCTCTCAACACCTCAGTACATACAAGTGTGAAGCACTCTAACGCTAGCCGAAAGGAACTGTACTGAACCCCAAAGGAGTCCCTGTAAGGCCCTCAGCTGTGCAGGGAAAAAATAAACATATCTCAGAATAAGTAATTTTATAAAGACTTTAAACCAGTGTAGCAAATACAGAGGAGTGGGAACAAGGAGAGAGAAATAGACCTTAAGACCTTTTCTTGATCGGGACAATCAAGATAAAAGCGATTTTCAAAAGTAAGTGAGGGACGAAGAGAGATCTATATGAGAACCAGGGATTTGGGACTCCCGAAGGAAGGGTCTCAAGGAATGGGCAGGAACGCTGGTACCGGCATAAAAGGGAGTAACTGCTATGGAAGGAACGACAACACGATTAGAAATTACGACCGTACAATAGAAAGTCAGTAAGTGCTTGAAGAACGATGGGGACATGTCCAAAGGTCACAAGAGCCAGCTTTGCAAGCTGGGTCAGGTGGGTCTGATTTTCACCCCAGCACATCAGCCCTGCCTCACCTCGGTCTTCCAGGGAGGGAAAGAAAGAGACAGCCAGAGGGCAGGGAGAAGAGTAAGCAAGCCAGAGAAGGGGGGCTGGTGTGGCAAAATGTTAAAAACAGGTCAATCTGGGTGAAGGGTGTGTGTTTACTGTTCTGTTCACTCAACCTTTCTCAGGTTTGAAAATTCTTACACTGAAGAGTGAGAAGTACAAAGTAAACCAACCCTACAGATAGAGCCTGCAACTACCACCTCACGCCTCTGGGTTCTCAGTTTCCCTGCCTATAAAATGGGCATGATCTGGCTGTGGCCGCGCCAGGAAGGCTGCATCAGATTCTCCCTGGCAGCTGGGAAAAAAGCTGGGGTCTGGGATCCTGTCCCCAAGAGGTGTAGAGAGAGACCAGAGGATCGAAATGTCCATCATATTCCTTGAGTGATCTGAAGGCACATGCAGGTTTGGGGAGCAGTAACTAAACTCCTTCCATGATTCTTTCATTTCTAGGGCCACGAAGATATTTTGGAACAAGGGATGCTTAGAAGTAAGCATCCTTGAAATACCCCCTACGTTATTTATTTACATCACACAACAACAAATGGATCTAGGAAATCATGCCAACAATTAGAAACAAGATAAAAGAATGAGAGCAATAAATAGACCCAGCGTGTTTTAAAGTAAAAACCTCCAAGGTCACTCGAGCTGCCTCTCCTTCCTTCCCCACTGACGTTGATTCTTTACAAAACATACTCACTTGCCCTTGCTGGCCAAGTTATCCAAGCAGGTTTTGATATAGCTTTTGTAGTAATCCACCTGCTCTCCATAGAAAGTGGCCTTCGAGTTCAGGGCAGCGTATGTTTGCTGTAATTTCACCAGCTCGGCCTTCCTCCTCTGTCGATACCTCCGCTGGTTCCGAATATCCTAAGACACAGTTGTTAAAGTTAGGACAATAATGATCAGTATCGTATTCTTCTTGAGTCATACACACTAGTGCTTAACCCCACTTTGCATGACCACGCTTTAACAGGAAACAACTGAAGTTCAAAAATTAGTAAAGAAATTCAGATCCCGTCAATTTTTTTCTCCCGTACCTAGAGGTATGGAAACGTGTTACTTTTTTTTTTTTTAAGTTTATTTTGAGAGAGAGAGGGAGAGAATGTCCATGTGTGTATGAGCAGGGGAGGGGCAGAGAGCGAGAGGAAAAGAGAAAATCCTAACCAGACTCCTCACTGTTAGCACAGAGCCCAATGCGAGGCTCGAACTCACGAACTGCGAGATCATGACCTGAGGTGAAATCAAGAGTTGGACACTTTACCGAATGAGCCACCCAGGCGCCTGGGAGATGTGTTACTTTTACAGACTTCCACATTCTTAGAATTTACCTGTGAAGCTGACTTAAACCTCTTAAGTATGTTGGCATGAGAGGGAAGAAAAGATAATTTTACCGTGTCAATGATCAAGCTCCCCGATGTGCATGGTATTTCTACCAGCAGCAAACACCTACGCTCTCAGGCTACACCAGAGCCCCTTACTTGTGAAGATTCACACAAATCAAGAATTGCATGACCAACGTGATGTGAATTTATATTTCATAGTAATCATTAAAAAGATCTGGAGGAATTCTTTAAGGCCAAAGACAAATTAACACACAGGCAGCTCTAGTTAGGGCCTTCTCCCTTTTGATTTAGGCCATGGAGTAAATCATCAAAGGGCAGCAAGGTCCTCATGTTGGGAAACTCAGAACCAATTCCCCAGTGGAGAGGACACTAATCTGCCTGTGCCCTGAAGGCATATTGTCATCTGAACACCTGCTGTCTCTTCACAAGCTCCCGACACAGCTTTGTCCACCGCCAGCCCATCACTGCCTCCACAAGCAGTACCCTGGCAATGTCGTTGATCAGCTCCTGATATCTGTTCTTCGGGTCCACCGTCCCAAGCTCTGTTAGCTTCTTCAAACCTGACTGGATCTTCTCCTTCTTCTCCTGAAGAGTGAGGTTGCTGTCTTCCTTTACAAACTGTGACTTTTTCATCTTGTCAGGAGTCTTGGCATCACGAATAGCGCGTCTCTGCATGGCCCTCTGATGTTCTGCTTCCTACAGATACAGAGAAGAAAAAGAAGTTGCTGGTATGTTTACCACCCTAATCCCAAACCTGAATTTATACAGCATATCCACACCTGAATTTACATAGCCCTGAAACTCCATTCTGGAAACGGAGGGAACAAACTTGTCCTCTGACAACTGACAGAGAACCTGCACAGAGCACACCTAGAAGAGATCGCGTCGATGAAGTCACACAGTCTCGTAGCGCTTCTTCCCTGGATTCTCACATATGGTTAGGAGATTGGGCTCCAAGTGGCTACAAGATCCCTCGTTTTTTTCCTATCACATTTTGAGACATGGGAGCCATTGAATTTGACTTGAAACACAGCTTCATTCATTGGTGAATGTTAAAAACACACCCATGCAACACCAGCGTTTGGTAAATTCTTGCCGACTCTTTTTGCCACCTTGTCCAGGCTGGATCATGCTGAAGGCTTCCTTTCGCTTTCAAGCATGCTACGAATGCCAGTATCTGGAGCAGTCCTTCCGATGATTCTTCTTTCCCAGTTGACATTCAGCGTTTGCCCATTACGTCCCTGCCTGACATGGCTCACACCGCTGGCCCATTCTTTTGGTGTCTCCCTCCTTCTCTAGCTCCTTGCAGTGTGGCTCTACAGCTCTGCCCTCATGGCCAATTCGCCACCCCTCCTCCGAATCCAGTGCCTTTTCTTAGCTATCACCTTGCTTGTACCCTCCACGTTCTCTCCTTGCCCCGGGCACAAGTTTGGTACCTCTAAGTGACCCCTGGTAGTTTCTCTGTGACTGTTCATTTTCAATACTTGAGTGATCGTCCCTATGCTACGGATCCCACATCTTTGTGGCTAAGGTTCTGGTGCTGCATTTTGAACTGTTTGTGCCAGGATGCTCACATTTGGAATGGCTTGTAATTCCTCCCAAACTGGAGCGATCCCCTCTCCGGGTATGCCCTTTTTTGCTAACGTCAAGACCACCCCGCATCACACAACGTGAAGAACATAAACCCTGGCGTCAGAAAGAACCTGATCCAAACTGGTTCCGCCACCACAAGCAGACAATCTTGGACAAGTTATGTGACCTCAAGGGTCTTAGCCTCTTCTGTAAGATAAGGATGAAAAGACTGACCTCACAGGGACAGTGGGAGGAGTAAATGAAAGAACCCAGGTGAAACCACCAAACTACCAGTAGGCTCTCATTGAAGGCTGGTTCCACCTTCCCTACTTGAAACTTCCTTCCAGGTTAAACAAGGTGCAGGTGTTGGTTAGGATTCTTTATTGCCCCTCACACACAGCTAGTCAGTAATCAATCACAGCATCAAAAAGCTGAGACTTCATTAAAAACAATGGTTTTCAAACAGTCCTACGTGCAGCTTTAAGGGATTCCCGCAGGAACCCAGAGCCCCAGCCCTATTCCTGGTGCTGAGTAGCTCCAATTTTTCCTACTTTATATTTGGGCTTCTGAGTAAACTGTCGTTTAAAAAAGAATTCATATGCTCAAAATTTGAAACAAATGGCTTGACTTGTCGCATCTTACAAACACAAAAGAGGGGTCTTAAACACGAAGTGCCCCATCATCCCCTCCCGATGCCGAGCCATCCGCCCCCACCCCAACCCCCCCCCAACCACGTGGGCCTGGGAGTCCATCCCGGACCTAGATTACTCAAGTCCTGTTTGCTTGGCTAGCACTGCTTAAGTGATCAGTATCAAATGGTCCCAGAGTGACAAAAGCTCTCTACTCCGTGTCTCTCCAGTGACAAACACGGGCTCTACACAGTTTGTTCTCATGTCTTACTCCTCACCACTCACCCTCACCCACACCTGCATTCTAGATAAGTCGGTCTGGTCCCATCCTGTCCATCAGGTCACGTCGTGCCTCTGTTTGTGTGGACTCCCTGGCCCAAGATGCCTCTTCTCTTACGTGCACACCCAGATCCTATCCACGCCTCCCAAGTGTGGCTCCAGTTCCACTTCTTCCTCACGGCTTGCTCCTCACTGGCCACTTTCCTCAATTTCTGCCATTTTTATAGCCAACAGCACAGTCAATTTTTAATAGTTTTCTAATTATTTCAGGTATATACACCACATTTCCCCAAGTAGATCATGAGTTCACTGAGTTTAAGAACCACATTCTGTACTTTATCTACTAAGGCACTTAACAAAATTCTAAGGATGTAATATTCACTTGATTACTAGGCAGACTCACTGACTCAGCCTCAGTTAAATTAAAACACAAAGCCACACACAAGGCCACACATACATGCCACGAGCCTTATGCCCTCAGAGCATCTGCGTGCCAGTTTAGGAGCCAACGACTTTCTGAGCAGGCCCACACCACCACGGCCCTCCAGTCCAGCCCCGCGTTGCCAGCCCCTGGCTCCCCCCCTCCTCAACCCTGGCACGCACCCGTCACGGGAGCATGTGTGTGCCTTGTCGTCATATGTGAAACCCCTAAGTTTTACCTGTTCGGTGGTGGCTGGGGTTTCTAGGATTTCAGTCAAGGTCTCGCCTGGCTGGAACCGGATGACGTCCACAATTAAACGTTTCGTGCTGAAAGGAGACGGGGGAAGGGATGAAACGTCACCAAATGTCCTACTTCCTCTCCAACGGCCCTGAGCAGCAGCAGCACACACACCACCTCAGACAGGTCCCACTGGGCCGCCGTGAACACAAGGCACCCGAGGCCTCAGGCTTATCTACGTGACAATGATGGCGTGGGTACCAGGGCCAGGATTTTGAAGGTATAAATTTCACTTCAGCGTCTTACTACTGAGGAAATGAGGCAGGTAAGTCCTGTGCCATGTATAATAGATAAAGTGACCAGAATTACGACAGGCTTAAAAGGCCAAGACGATGGTTTCCGGTATGAGCAAGCGGACATGTTCACCAGGGCAAGGGCAAGGTCAAGGGATCACCGCACTATATTTACCTCATTCTTCCCACTTCCAGTACTCACTTCAGCAGGATAGTCCGAGCGTCCATTTCTGCATTCTCATCCCCAGGCACATCAAACTTGTTGGTCAGCGTAAGAGACACTTCTGTCTTGGCCAGCACCTCCTTATTGGGGTCATTTAAATTGCCAGCGCTCTCTCCTGTGGTTTTGGGGGGAGTAGAGAGGATCAGTATAACAAAGGAGGAGATAGTGGAGAGGAGACATGAATACAAAGAAAAGAGAATGCGGGTCTAAGAAGATACTTGAATAAGCCAACACGTACACTGTGGCAAGGATACCTTTGAAAAATAAAAGGAAATGTATGCCAAATAAAAGCAAAGGATCCCTAATAAAATAATTTCAAAAATATTTGACAAATCGTTTCAGTAATTATTATTTAAAAAAAAATTTTTTTTTGATGTTTATTTATTTTTGAAGGAGAGAGAGACAGAGAGTGAGGGGGGAGGGGCAGAGAGAGGGAGACACAGAATCCGAAGGAGCCTCCAGGCTCTGAGCCGTCAGCACAGGGCCCAATGTGGGGCCTGAACCCGCAAACCGCGAGATCATGACCTGAGCCAAAGTCAGAGGCTTAACCGACTGAGCCACCCAGGCACCCCTCATTTCAGTAATTATAATATGGTAATTCCCTCTCAAAATATTCTGCTCATTTCCTTTATAGGACTTATAATTATAGGATTATGTGTATAATATATACATTTAAAATTCTCTCTTCCACTAGACTTCAGTTCCTCAAAGACAGGGATCGATCATATGTGTTTTCTTCCTGAATGTACATTCGGAGCAGGAACAGTACAGAAACGGACGAGGTGGCAATTGCAGCACCCCTCTGTCACCCTCCCTGTCACCTTCTGGGCAGTTAGGTCAGAGCTTTACCTATCAGGGACTCGATGGTGGGCACCTCGCCCAGGTCATCCAGCAGCTCGTGGATCGGGTCGTTGTGCTCTGGAGCAATGGCGTCCTGATGGTCTAACAGGAGCTGTGTGGAATACCCAGGAATCAAGTCCATTTACAACATCAGCCCCTCAGCCCTCAGCCTCACCAACAATGCCAAACAACACAGAAGGGGTCAGATAACAAAGCTCCCACATTCAAAGAACTGACAGGCCAATCCTCAGCAAACTAACCCAAGTAAACTATAACATATAAAGCATCACACGGGCCTCTGCTGAATGACTTATGGATAATGAATGGAAAGGAAATACTGGCACTCTCTTAACCTTGTGGATAGAAGGGACTTAAATGTACCCTGCACAGGAAGAGAGTAACAAACCCCATCGACTTTAATATCCAAAGGCATCAATGTACCGTACAGCCAGTGCAAGTGACTCCCATTCACACTCTTAATGTGTCCAGCAGACAGTATCTCTTAATTCAGAGAAAAGTGCATCAGATCAATGTTGTCATCATCTCACAGACACTCAAGCAAAGCCTTCAAGACGCTATCACCCTCGGGGATGCCCCAGGGATATCACCTGAAATTTCCTTTACATTTTATGTATTTTCTCATTTCCTGTTCTATATACCCTCAATGGGGAAAGGAATGAATTATAAAAATCTGGGGGGAATAAAAGGAGCACCTAAGGGACGCAGAGGAAAAAGTGGGTATTTTAGATGTTAGAAAAATAACACAGAGGGCCAGGATAAACCAAAGGAACAGTGAACACAGTTTTTTATCAAGTCCCTAGATCGGCGCTCACAATGGAGACTCTGGAGCCCACCCGTGGGGACTGCTTCAGCAGGCCTGCGGTGGGGACCAGGAACTCCATTTGTGACCATCAGCCCAGATGACTCTGACGCAGGGGGCCTGGGGCCACTTTGAGACACTCAGTAGATACAGTTAGTATGCAAAGAAAAGAGAAACAAGGAAGATGTGAAGTCAGTAAGATCAAAGGAAGGTGAGTTATCTGGCTCTCCAGAGATGGTAAGCAGCATCTAGGGAAGACGATTAAAATTAAGGACAGAGCGATAAAATTAAGTAATTAAAGAAAAAATACTTACAGTGTGGGTGTTGATGATTTCACCAATGGAAATGTAGATCACTGGTTTGGTGACGGTGACTAAATCAGAATATTCATCCACATTAAACTTATCCTGAAGCTCTGGGACATCACAAGCAGTTTGGAAAAACCGTCTGAAAATAAACGCGAGAGGCAGACCCCCGAGTGACGCATACGTGAGAAGCTGGCGAGAGGACATCCCACAAACCTTTACAACGACGAGTTCAAAGAGAAGCCAGTCAAGGCCGAGGACTGTAGAGAAGCTTGCACACGTCCACTCCGCTTCACAGCCTTGGGGCGGGTGGTTTTAACAACTTCTCCCTCCACCCAATTTAATTCCACCCACAAGAACCGCTCAACCATAATTTAAAGCAGTTTGAAAACACCCAAGCTGTGAGGCAAACCAGCTTTATCTCTGAGACGATGCCCTGAACTCACAACTGGCTGTTTAACTTATAAATATTAAAGGCACTCTCCGATTCTTCTCTGCGTGCAAAGTAACCCATGCCAAATGAGGATTTACTGCTTTTATGTTAAGTGCAGTCTATGTCAGCGGAATACATTTTAACGGCTCAAAACCCTCTTCATCACCTCCAAGGGCTCCGAGCACATCAAACATGTATCCCTCGATATGGCAGAGTCCCAGGGAAGCTAAGTTCTGGTATTTAATCTTGTCCGGACACTCACAGAGAGAAACATGCCCACGGGACCTTTCAAGTACCCTGTTCCTTTCTCCCTACCTGAATTTCTGGTAGGACTGGGAGAGATACTCATTAATGATGCTTAAGTGAGCATTATCTCCCAGAAACATCTTATTGGACGCCGCGTGCTGGAGCATCTTTGCAATGGAGCCAAGGTTCCGGCGTTGGTCTGTGGTAAGCTGGCCTCCTGCCGACAGGTCAATGATGTCAAAGGCATCAGGAGCAACAATGGCTGGATTCATGTATCGATAGTAAAGCAAGTTACCAATAATCTGGGAACAGACGAAGAAGAAAGACGGCTGTTAAAAACCACTCCACCCAGTAAGGCACAAATGACTTTGCTAGCAAAGAAAACCAGAAAAGGCAGTCCTGTAAGGAAAAATAAACACCATGCACACACACACACGCATGCACGCACACACACTTTCTTTCAAGGTCTGAACCTAAAACAACCGAACATCCCTTGGTTGGATGCAGAGAAAAAGAAAATAAGGACAGAGTTGACAATCACTACAACGAAAGAGCAGACTCAGAAGGTAAAAACGACAGACTTAAAGTCTATTGCTAAGGGATTTAGGATATCCTTTGTTCACATATCATGGCAGCAAACAGGTTGCTGTCACCCACGTGCACTACTGCTTATTTTCACGTAGACGGGCTTTCGTTCAGAGAAACTGACAGACGTAGCTAACGACCCAGTGAGCACAGTGCAGTCTGCCCAACCCCATCAGCCTCATGCTGCAGACTTCAATGGTGGACAAGTTCATGCCTCTGAAATTAAAGTCATTCAACACACATCTCCTCCACAGAAGGATTCAAGGACAGTCACAGCACTTCCCCTGGAGTTTCATTCAAAGAAAAAAAAATTTTAATTCACCTGAATAGAAAGTCTAGAATCGAGGCCTCACTGTAGGAAAGCACAGAACTAGGAGAGAGAAGAAAAAAGCATTCAGATTAAGGTGGGGGGAGGTGGGGAAGGAGGAGCACAGCCAAGTAAGAAAGAGTTATCAGTAACAGCCTTAGCAGAAACCATGGTGCTTGCTGCCATTCACCCAGCTACCAGCAGAGGGAGCAACTCTTCAGCGAAAAGACAGGACTTGGAGAAATTGATGTGAAGACAGGAAAATCCACCTTGTCTACTTGTTTGAGGTCTATGTGCCAAACAATAAAGCAACTCTACAGGTACTGAGAGAGGTATCATTTACTATTTACAATTACTTTCAAGAGCTCACAACCGATGGCGAGCTATTGCCAGAAACTATGCTCGCGCACTTCCTGAAGGTCTAAGGTTGGGCCTCGTTTTCTAACTTTTACCTCAAAGGACTCCTGAACGGGCAAGGACGGTGCCAGCGTTCAGATTCTTACCTTCAGCAGCTCATCCTCACCGGCATCTGGGAACTTCTCATGTAACGAGTCCTTCAGCACCTTGGCAATGAAGCGCATGCCGTAACTGTGGGATGGACAAAACTTAATGAGAGCAGCTGGGGAGCAGAAGGGCAGTAACACAGGACCTATGTGGGTCAGAACTGATGGCACTCACGGGATTTTGTCCACAGAGCTAATGATGGCTGAGAGGAACTTGTCCGTCACCGCCCGCATGTTCCTGATGGAGTTGTCTAGCCGTGTCTTGACCTCTTCGTGAGCCAAAGCCTGCTCGGGGGTCACATCATAGGGTAGTTTGCTAGGAAAGCAAAAACCATCCCCAAATGCGTTAGACCAACAGCCAGGAACAGCCTGAGGCAGGACTGTGTCTTTCACAGACCCAGAGAGATCAGGTGAAGCTGCTCATGCTCATAGAGCTGATAAATAGTGGGGCCAGAATTTGAACCCAGGTCCTAGCCGTGAACTGAGTGTCTAGAACTATGTGCCATGCACTATGATATGCCCTTAGGGTAAAAAAAAAAAAAAAAAAAAAAAAAAAAAAAAAAAAAAAAAAGGGTATGAGACACGACAGCTTCCCGAGTCTCTTAGTTTGGTGGGAGACACACAACAACAGGAAGGGACACCTGAACTCAGGAAAACGGGAGAAAAACTTGTCTTCCAGGAAAGAAGATCAAATGCAAAGCAAAGGAAGAGAAGGAGAAGTGAGCAGGTGAAGAGAGTCCAGGTTGTGGAGGGCGCTGTACATAATATACGTAACACTAAGAGGTCTGCACTTTCCTAGAAGTCACCGAGGGCCATTGAAAGACAGGCGATCTGAATTTGAGGAAGATTTCTCTGACCCACGGTGAAGAATGAATTAAAGATGGACAGCCACTGATGAAAGAGATGGGTTAGTGCCACAGCCCGATCAAGAAATCATGAGGTCATGAGCAAGGAGGCAGCAGTGCAGACCAAGGGAACAGATATGAGAGATACTAGGGAGACACAACCAGTGGCACCTGGTGACGTCCTAGGTACTGGTGAAGGAAGTGACAGTTACATATAGGAACTGGAGCCTGAGGAGCCGACAAGATCCCTCAGGGGAGGGCACCGAGTCCGAACAAAGCGGCAGGAAGATAGGCGTGCTAGGCTTAAGTGGGAAGGACAGGAGGGGCTGAAAGACAAAAGAATGAAATGTGGGAGTCAAGGTCCCGGTGCCGTCAGTGAGGTCAAAGGGTAGTAATGATAGCCCTGGATTATATGGGTGGTCTATATCCAATCCCAAGCGTCCTAACAAGAGAGAGGCAGGGGCAGACTTGGTACACACAGAAGAGCAGGCCACGTGACCGCAGGGGTAGACCACAGCGATCCGTCCGGCCACAAGTCAAGGATGGCAACAGCCACTGGAAACTGAAGAGACAGGAAACGGATTTCCCACCAGAGCGGCCGGGGGAGCACACCCCTGCCGACACCCTTTCAGCCCACAGATATGGATTTTGGATTTCTGGTCTCCAGAACCACTAGGGAATGAATACATTTCTGTCATTTTAAGCCACTAAGTTTGTAGGAATTTGTCACAGGAGCAATAACAAACAGATACAAGCATATAGGGATACAACACCATTTGTCAAATTGTGGCTGAATTACAAATATAAATAGACTACCAACAAAAGAATTGAGCAAAAATCAATAAAAAACATTGTGTTTGAAACAACTGGCTATGTGGAATTTGTATGAGTATCGTAGGTTTTATTATTTGTAAATTATATGTTCTATACATCTTTTATATCAGTAAAATTTGTAACTTTATGTGCAGATGACATTTATAAAACGTAGTAATGAGCAAACGGAATAAAGGTGCTCAACACAATGAGTGTGGGTAGAGAAGAGAATATTAAATTTCTGAGATTTCAAAGGCGAACACTCCCAAGAGGGGCAAGGTCCCAGCCTGCTACATGTTTGGCCGAAGCTCAAGGATCCATGAGACCTGCAGACAGGACGGGCTCCCACTGCACCTTTATACCCCCCAGTTAGCAGCAGCACAAAAGTATGTTGAAATCAATTTCCATTTTTGGAAAAACAAAATAAGACACCAGTTTCTCCCAGGTACTCACAAGGGAAAAACCCTCAGACATGCCTCGTGGAGCTCTGACCTGAAATGGACTGCCTCCTGCACTGTGAGAAGGGGTAGCTCAGTACCCCCAAGCCAGTGTCCACGGGGCTGTCCTCTAGGGGTGGCCTGTCCTCTAGGGGTGGCCCGAGCGGCAGGCAAAGCTTCCCAGTCCAGTCCTATGGTCGGCCAACCACACTCCAAGATTTGAGCCTCAGGTGCACAGGGCCAAACACAAATGGACTTTTCATCACACCCAGCAATAACTTGCCTCCTGGTGACAGACTGGCACAGTACTGAGACACAGATCAGGTGCCAAATGATCCCAATAGGGGATAAGCCCTTTCTCGGAGTCAGCAAAGCGTTCAGTTCTCTATCCAGAGCGCACCTTCCTCTCTGCCTGGGGGCCAGGTCCCCGGAAAGTAGTGGCATACCGAGCAGCACCATTCAAAGTGCGAGCTGGTGCCAGTGTACAAATCAGTCCAAGAAGGGAAGGAGCCTGGGCCAGGATATAATCGACACACTGCTCCTCTCACTGAGGAAGTCTGGCTAGGAACAACACCGGCTGAACTAAACAGTGTGCTGAGACAGAGCCATAGGTGCTTTCCGGTTTCTGGTCCACAGACCACACTCCCGATAGCGAGGATACAGACAGCCACTCCTAAGCTCCAGAGATCTTTGCACACGATCTAACCTGACTCCACGACCACCAGGAAGAAGCACCCTGGACCAAACTGCTCACCCAAACCAGATAAAACCAGAAACATGCTGCCTCTCTGAACTGTACTTTTCCAGCATTACCCACATTCTACTGGCACACCTTTCTTTGGAGGCATTGCTGTTGGTGGTCAAACTACTGCCCCAGCAGAGAAGTCCCCTGAGTTGCGTTGACATAGCTAGTCCAGCCCACTCCCAGTACTCCAAGGCAGCTCCACGCCAAGCTCCCCACTTTAACCAGACCCACTGATCTCCCTCAGATAAGGCGTCCCATCTGACTGCATCTCTAGTCCCAGACCCTCAAGCTCCTTCCACCTCAGAGCGTTCAGACGTGAATACTCTGCAGCCAGCTCTCGGCAAGACTGACATGATCTTAACCTTTAGGCCTGAGCTAAGTGAAATTTCACCTTCTCAGAGAGGCTTTCCCCAACCACTCTACCCAAGTTAGCTCTGTCCTGTACCCTCCATTATAGTTGAATGTAATGTAAAACTCTCAATTTGTGATTTCATTTCTATGTACCTGTCTCTCCCACACAATAACAATGAACAGAGGGCAGAGAGCTTGCCTGTTTCATCCATTATTGTGTGTATGTCTAACACAGTGCCTGGCACATAGCAAGCACTCAGTAAATATTTGCCAAATAAGTGAATCAATTATAAGGTCAACATTTTAAGAAGTTTCTAGGGAAAAACTACTTGAATAATTATCAGTTTATAAATCAAAAGTTAGCTGCTTAAAAAAACAAAATAATGGAAACAAAAGAAAAAGGTGTTATGGTTACCATACCTTGCCTCTCCTGTCTGAGACTCCATCTGATTAACCCAAGATTTGTATATATCCACAGGGTCAGTTTTGATGTTGAGAGATTTGTCATCCATAATCTCCTTCACAACAGGGGCCAAGATCTGTCGTAGAGCGTTCTGGCCCCGGGCACCTCTGTTGAAACTCACAACCATCTTAATAACTGTAGGATTTCCTGTCACGATCTCCTGAATCTGATCTACTTTTGACCTATAAAACATCAAATACAAATTCATTTTAAAATAATCACAGACTTTATCAATGTAAAGATCGAGTTCCTACTTAGAGACCCCATCTCCTAGAAAAAGAAATAGTTGGAAGGAAAGAGGTATGTGCTCTTTCTCTAGAAACATTTACTGACACTGACCTAAACCCAGGACAGCCTGCTGCTTGCAAACTCAATCATGGGAACATGAATGGGTACTTTTTTAGATAAAAATGTGAAATCATGTTCGGATCAGCTTTTAAAAAATCATATCTTAATATAAAATCATCCGGGGTGCCCAGGTGGCTCAGTCGGTTGAGCATCCAACTTCGGCTCAGGTCATGATCTCATGGTTCATGGGATTGAGCCCCACGTTGGGCTCCATGCTGACAACTCAGAGCCTGGAGCCTACGTGGGATTCTGTGTCTCCCTCTCCATCTGCCCCTTCCCCACTTGCACTGTTTCTCTCTCTCTCTTTCTCAAAAATAAACATTAAAAAAAATTTTTTTAATATAGAATCTTCCTAAAATCGCTTTAGCAAATCTCTTATTCTACCACTTCCTCAAAGCAGCAACACTTTATATTAGTGACTTAAAAAGTAGAACCTTCTCGAGGCGCCTGGGTGGCTCTGTTGGTTAAGCATCTGCCTCTTACTCTTGGTTTCGGTCATTCAGGTCATGATCTCATGGTTTGTGAGTTGAAACTCTACATCAGGCTCTGTGCTGACAGCGCGGAGCCTGCTTGGGATCCTCTCTCCCTCTCTCTCTTTGCCCTTCTGCTCACACTCTTTCTTTCTCAAAATAAACTTTAAAAAAAAGGGGGAGTCGGGGGGAGCTTCTCTGGAGTATTTCACACAGATCATAATGTTAACTGAGTTCAAAGCAAAGGTACGGGGAGGCCTGAATCCCAAAGTATGAGTGTGGATGGCAGTGGGACAGGGTTCCATGCCCAGCAGCAGTCTGTTCATACTTGATCTCCTCCTGGAGGGCTGTCTTAAAGAGCCGTAAGAGCAGGTACTCCTCTCGCTGGTTGGACGCATAGTTGTACAGGGTGAAGATTACAGAGTCCATGAACTTGGTGGACTTATTCTGGGGCATCTGAAAGATCAGCTTCGCCAAATAGGTGGGGTTGGTCTGAAATAAAACCAAGAGATAAGTAATCTCTAGATAATATAAAGGCTGACACAAATATTCATGTTCTTTTAAACTTAAAGGTTTAGAGTGTGCATAAGGAACAAAGAAGACAGCCTTTTGCTCACCCCTCAGTAGAAATGAGAAATACTCTGAGATTTATGGCTAAGGTTTTCTTGTGGGAAAGTAAGCCAAAGCCTACAATACCAACTCCAGGAACCACTCACCTGTAATAAATAAAACAGATGTTGATAAGCTTCCAGTTTCTCTCTCTTCTCCTTGCTCAAAGCCTTGAGACCTCCTTTCTGTTTATTTAGCATCATCATATCAGATAACTGTTCTTTATTTTTTTTAGTAAGTTTTTTACTGTGGGAAACCACATCCTGTAAACAAAAACATACATGTAAATCAAAAAACTAAAGCCCCCAAAACACTTGCAGGAAGGTCTGATGCATTGGCAGATGCCATCAACTATTTTAGAATCACGACACCGTACCCTGCTTTCATCACACCAATCTACTCCTACCTCCACCTCCCTATTAACCTACACCATAGGGGCACCTGGAAGGCTCAGTCTGCGACTCTTGTTCTTGGGACCATGAGTTCAAGCCCCATGTTGGGTGTGGAGATTACTTAAAATATTAAGAGAAGAGAAGAGAAGAGAAGAGAAGAGAAGAGAAGAGAAG